AGTGGTATTTTTGCAAATGAACATCCTAAGTGGCATTTTTGCAATTTCTCATTTCTTTTCTTTGGCTGCATCTATATTTTTCTATTTTTTTTTGTGAAACTTTTTTTTTCTACTCGAGGAACCAAAAAGAAGGTTCTATATATACTTTCAACTTGGCGACGGACGTGAGATCCACTCGCATGAGATATTTGTCTCCCAAGCGTCAAAGCAAGCTTTCCGTCCGATCTTCTCTGAGGCTTTCTCCGGCCACTGGCGCTTGCCGATGGTGTCGCGAGAGGGCCTCCTCGTGTTTGGTTTATGTGTATATCTCTTCATTGTTGTGTTTAGGTTTTTGTTGGAGGTATCAGAGGATGTAGTTCGGCAAAAGCTCCGGTGGTAGCACATCAGAGGTTGTTTGATCGGGGAAGGCTTGGGTTCGAGAGAATGGTGTGTTTGGGTTCAGTTTCGTGCTTCGTCTGGAGGGATTCGTGCTGTAGTGTCTGGGTTATGGCAGATCTTTATTCGGCTAAGGTATCGAATTCAAAGGACGACGAGATGTCAGAGCCTTGGGTGATTGATGGTCTCGGATTTGGTCTAGTTTGTAAGCCTAATTAGGTCCTCTTGATTTAGGTTCTATGTTGTGCCTATGTTGTTCTGTCATCTTAGTTTGTGCTTTCGATTTGGTTGTCTGGTGGGCCTTCTCTATCAGCCTTCTCGTTTGGGTTGTTTGGTTAGGTTGTGCTTGGGTTAGTTGTTTAGTTGCGTTTTTAGTCCTTTTCTAATTAGTTTAGGTGAACTTTGCTAATTGTCGGTTTGTATGGCCGCAGTTGCTTGTCGAGGTTGGGTATTTCTTCGTTTAGCTTTGGTTTAGTCGTTGAATCTTCTTTCAGCCTTCTTCCACCGCTTTTAGTGTAGCCAATAATAAGTTTTTGTCTTTAGTCTTCTATGGTCAGTTCTTGTAAGGCTAACCTCGTGTGGGGACGCAAAGTTCGTGATTTAGAATTTTCATGGGCGAAAATTAGGTGTTTAGAAGTTTAGATTCTCGAATGTGGTGATTTGTAATGGTTATTCGTCGTATATGGATCCTTTGGTCGCGGTTTTCCTTTGCTTCGATGGTTTCTTGTGAGCTTTGCTATCCGCGTATGCAGTTCTTCCCACGCTTTCCGCTTGTTATGCAAGTGTCTCACTTTGATTTCTTTTTAGCAGTTTTTATCCCGGTTTTGTTTATTCCGGTTGTTTTATATCGTATCTGCTTGTTTTCTGATGTTTGTATTTTTCATTTATGGACTTTCGATTCTATTGTCCACGTAAAAAGCCGTCATGTGATTTCCTATGTGGTTTTACTTTGTATTGTACTTGGTTTTAATAATACATCAGATAACAAACCAAAAAAAAACTTTCAACTTGGCACATGAGCATGTTTTTATGTTCGTAGAATTAATTTCCAAATTTTCTAGCACATGAGTTCTCCTTTTATATCTAAACAGGATTATTTTGAATAATAAAGAAATATAAGACTTTATGTTGTAACTTGTGATGCAAATTTTTTTCTCATAATATTAATAAGTGAATTTATCAAACTATAAGAGCATCTCCAATTGGGAGAATCCATGGAGATTTTTACAAATATAAAACTAATATTTTTAGTATTTTTTTAGTTGGAGAAACTTATTTTAGTTCTTCCACTTCAATGGTGAGAAACGCATAGAGTTTCTCAAAAATTAAATATTAACATAAATAATATATTTTCTCAATATTTTAAAAAACTATTGCATTAATATTTTTAAAACATATCAGATTACATTTAACTAAATCTAATTGCAATAATTAATTATTTTTACTTTTATCATCTATAATGATAAATAGAATGTGTTAATTTTAATAATTTTAATTAAATACTAATAATATAATCATAAAATTACAAAACATAAATCCATAATAAATATAAAATATAAAATGTTAGAAAATATAATTAAAATCCCAAAATACAAATTTAATATTTCAAATCTTATATTTTCTAATGTATTAATACAATTCTATTAACTAATGAAATATTACTTATTTCATATAATTGTATCAAATTTAATTAATATCAAATAAAAATAGTATTAATATATAATTTAAATATATACATAATGTAACTCTATAAATAGATATGTTTATTTTAGGATTTATAAAAGAGTAAAAATATAAAAAATAACAACATACGAACTATTTAATTATGATTTTACATTATTGTGTATTTGATATACCACTAATGGTAAAATGTCATGTGTCCAAGAAATATGTATCTAATGAGGTTTTTTTATGAAGAATCGAC